CTCCACCTCCCCCTCCCCCTCCCCCGGGCCCTGCGCCATCACCTCTGTCATCACCGTCGCCTCTGTCATCGCCTCTGTCGTCAGTGTCACCTCTATCATCACCCGTGGATGCATGTGTTCCCGACGCAAAGAAATCGTCGTCGTCGCTGGATGTGCTATCGAACAAGAAGTCACCCTCGTCCCAACGCATGCGGGCCCTGCGAATGYCACCATCCGTCCGCTGTCGCCGAGTCCRAGGAGCGGAACCCGCATCGCCACGTGTACGTCCTCCGACACCTGCTCGTCCACGGCCGCCACGTCCCCGACCACCAGCCCTGCGTCGCCTCCTGTCCGACTCCGCCACCCGACGCTCGGCTCCCATGCGAGAAATGGCGCGCATCCTCTCTCTGGCGAGGCTCAACTCCTCCTCGGTCACCTTCGCCAGAACACTGGTGCCTCTGAYGAGCTGCTGGTCCACGGCTGCCTCGTCCTCCACGGCCTGCCAATAATGCACCCATTTCCCGAAGACGCCGGGCCTCTCTCCAACACCATCGTCGCACAACGAAGGTCGATCGAGTAGCCTGAGGTTCCAGTGGCACCGCACAAGCTTCTCCGCCCGGGGAACCTCCAACTTGTTGCGAGACTTCGAATGAATGAAGCTTCAACGAGACCACGCTCTCTCGCACGGTGAGGCGGTCGCCCATATACGAAGGATCCTGCCTGCAAACACGGCCGTGTGAGGGAACTTCGCTTTCTTTGAGGACCAAAAACTGGCAGGGTGATCAAAGATATCCGCAGCTCGCCGCATGGTGAGCTCATCGAAAGGGGGCTCCCTCGTGTGGAGCTTGGCGACCGCTCGTTGGACCTCCCGGTGCTGCGGCGAATCCTTCGGGTAGCCGAACTGGACAAGGGCCTCGACCAAGGCCTGCTGCACATCCGCATCGTCACAAAGCGTCACGTTCCGGAACTCTGGATCGAGCAGCATGGCTGCCGTGTGGGCGGGGGTCTTGAATATGGTGCGTCGCCTGTGGAACACCTCCACAATAGCGTCCTGCTGCTCCCGATCAATGTCACGACATGCGGATAAACAAGATGCAATCATTTCCTCGTAAAGTCGCAGAATCTTGCTGATCTGGCGTGTGTCGCTGTCCACCAACTTCAGCATGCCCATGATGGGCTCTAGCATCTTGCACAGAGCTCTCAAATTCTCCCACCATGGAGGGTAGCCGATACATGCAGTGACCTCCGCTGCATCCTTGCGGATCTTGCTGGTCGACCAAACAGCCTCGCGCCAGCGATCGTCGGCCACAACATCTGTCAACGCGGCCCGCAGAGCCACCAGCCTCTCCATCATGATGACGTTCGTGCCGAAACGCGTCTCCGCCGGTAGCAGAAGAGTCTTCGTCGAGTGCGCCTCAAGAACCTCTCTCGCATGTCCATGGAGCTTGAAGAACCTTGTAACCAGCCTCGTTTGAGAAATGCGGGAAGCCACCCAATCAATCCCGCCGATGTCCTCGAGAATGAGATCCATGATGTGGGCGACGCAAGGAATCCAGAAGATGTGTTTCACGCTCTCATCTTTTTGAAATACCTCCATCGCCACGACGTTCACCCTGGCGGAGTCCGTCACGAACGCCGTGATGTCGCTCAATTGAACGTCCATGGACTTCACCCTTTTCAACCATGCGTTCGCGAGGGCACTGGCGTCCTTTTTGCCACGCATGACGTCGGTGGACACATACACCACCCCGATCTCTGTACCAACAAGGTAGTTACACAACGTCTGACCACGGATGTTGGTCCAACCATCGGTCATGATTGTGCAACCGGTCTCTCTCGACGTGTCAAGCACCGGCCGAACACACTTCTGGACCTCACCATCCAGCTCGTCCAAAAGGGTCGTGCGCAGCATGTGGTACGAGGGAAGTCTAGGCGTGCGCGCCCCTGGAACCCCCGGCGGGATTATCATCGTGAACATGCGTTTGAAGCTTTCAAGCTTCGTGTTGTTGAACGGCATCCCGCTCTCGACGATGAACTGCATGATTTGCAGATGCCATGCGCGCTCCAAAGGGTCCGAATAATATGACGTGACGGCTTGCTGCCTGTAAGTGCCCCGACATCGTCCCGTCGTAGCTCTCCCGCCGAGGACCCCAGCATCCAACAACCCGCCAGGGCTCACAGGTGTCGCGCTCTGGGCGACTGCAAGATCACGAATGCGCTGCAAAGGGTCTAACGTTCCGATCAACACGGGTGGAGGTTGTGGGGCAGACCGACCACCGCCCGTGGTTGTCGGAACAGGGGTCGGCGATGAATCGGACACCGGAGCGGGGACCTCCTCGGCAGACACCCCATGATCCACATGTTCCCCGAAATGAGGCACGGAAGCAGAATGTCTAGCATCTGCAGGTGCGTGTGACGGATCCGGGTGGGCGGTTCCGTTAGCGTGGTGGACCATTGGACGCTGCGCCGCTCTCGACGGTGGCGGTGGCAGCCAGAGGTGCTCCGACGAACTGCGGGGTGATGCGTCAGGTGCCACTGCAGTACCACCCCGTGCGGCATCTGACTGCCTAGCACTCCTGAAAACAGGGGCGAGCGCGGGCGCTGAACTGCCGGCACTCCCCCCCCACCTGCGACTCTCAATAAATGCACGTGTGCT